ATAGCCATAGCCATAGCCATATCTATATCCATATCCATATCTATATCTATATCTATATCCATATCTATATCTATATCTACATCTATATCTTGATTCAACAATTAGCTTCCTTTGTAATTTTGCTTTATGTATTTAAAAACATTATTTTGAGAAGAGGTCCATAGATGTCACCAGACTGCCAAAGGGGTCAATCACACAAAGAAAGTTAAGAAGCCCTGATATGGTCCTACTGCCTCATTTTACAGTAAACTAAGACCCAGACAGGGAAAGAGATTTGCCTAAGATCATAAGCCAGTTCGTAAATAGCTCCATTAACTGATCAACTAACAACAAGCATTTATTGAGTGCTATGTATGTACCAGGCACTGTTGTAGGCACAAGGGAATACAAAGACAAAAAGACTCGAGATAGTTTGGTTGGCCCTCAAGAAGCTTATGTTCAGTGGGGGTGTAGGGTGTGTTCAGGGAAGATGAGGACCTCTGGTGTGAAGGTTGCCAAGCCCATTTCAGGGCTGCTTTCCACCGTTGGGGTCCACTCGTTCCACCTAACTCTCACCTACGGCTCCAACAAGCTATAGCATGTGCAGTGGCCACACCTCAGCAAACCGTTTTAGACTGAGGATAACCGAGGGGTCTCAAACTCGTTGGTGAGTTAGGGGGGTGTCTACTGCAAACATGTGAAGACTTCCCCTGATAGAATGGGCAGATGAGAACAATCTGTTCCAATGGCCACGCAGGCAACTGAAGCAGGCACTGTGGAGCTTGGTTAGACATCAAGACGCTAAGGTCATCCACGACATTGTGAGCCACCACCCGTTGTCTTGATTCTGTCCTGCCACTAGACTGTGATGACTGGAGGAGAGAGTGAGGCTGACAACTTCCAATTTGCAAGAATCAAAAGACATCACCAACCAAACAGTATATTCAATCAATTGATTGAATTAATTTGATTAATTAATCGAAAGGACTTCACCTTGGGCTATCCCATCCTTGGGTCTCTTGGTCATCAGGGCAAGGGCGAAGACTAACAGTTCTGGGGACGAAGCATTGATGAGTGGCCTATGGGAATCCTGAGGCCAGTTCTCCTAGAAGAGTGTCAGCCATGGGAAGTTCTGCCTTTAGTGGCCACACATCTCCCTGAATCCTCTCTGATTAAAGGAAGCATCAGATACCAACAAAGAGTTGGCAGCCTTCACGCCCAATCTCCCCCCAGACGTCATTTGTAGTCCCCTTTTTGGAATTCTCACCACTTCAGGTGACACCGCCCCCCCCCCCCCCAAACACACACAAAAGAGGGAATTAGGGAGGTGGGGAGAGGTTTCTAAGGTCCACCTCTCTCTCTCTCTCTCTCTCTCTCTCTCACACACACACACACACACACACACACACACACACACACACACACACACCCACTAGTTAATTGGTTTATCCCCTGGGTGTGACTAAGTTAAAGCATTCTTCCTGGGTGTGGCTTTGTCTTCCCGGAGGGGGTTCTGAAATAACAGAAGCGGATCTGGTCTGGCCTGGGACACGCTGAGCCTGGGGCTGAATCCTCCAGTAACCCTGGCACCCTAACAGAGGCAGAAACTCCCAGCACAGCAGCTGAGACTGGGTACCACAGAGAGAGCCAGCAGGAAACAGCAAAGGGCCTGACGATTTCTGGATCTTACTAAGCTGAGCTAAGGATTTAAGATGCAGTTGTCACCTCTAAGGCATTGTTGAGGAGATGCACTGATATGTCTTGGTAATTCATGTGTAGAAGTTTGTATCTGAGCTGCTTTGTTGATATAAAAAGCTGGTTTTTCAGTCTCTAAGAACTCTGTTGTTGCAAGGTGCTCAAGGCCTGGGAACCTGTACCACACCTGCCCTGCATTACCACCATCTCCAAACTCAGACTTATGTGCATCCTCTCTTCCTGGCTCCACTCTACCTAGGCCTATCCTTCAAGACCTAGCTAAAGTCCCCCACCCCTACCCCGGAAAGCCTTCCAAGACCCCATGACACAGGGATCTCCCTCCTCTACAGCATTGATGTATTCCTTATTTGGCATCTATAGAAAATCAGCACACTACGGTTTACGTGCTTTCTTCACAGCCTCACCATCAAGTAGATGGTTCAAGTGTAAAGAAACATGGGGGAAGGGGTGCTCTCTGCATAAGTATTGTTATTCCCATTTTCCAGATGAAGAAACTGAGGCTCAAAGAGGTGATGGGACTTGCCCTGAGTCACACATCCAGGATGTGCCAGAACCAGCATTCCAATCTGAGGCTCCCGACTTCTGGTCCGATCCTTGGCCCTACAACACTGCCTTCTAAATGATGATCAAGTCATAGACAAGGATTGACTGACTGAATAAGGGCACTAAGGGGCTTCCCTGTGAACTCTGATGAGGCTGATCCTGGTGGAGAAAACAGAAAACTCCGAAGCAGTTTCTAAGATAAGCTACTGCTATCCACAGGTCTGCAGAGGCAGCCTCCTAGCTGGACAAATGCAAACATGGAAACCCCTTTCTCTGCCTTTCCCTCATTCCCCCTGCCCCCCTCTAAAAGAAAATTATAGCCAAGGTTGGGGGTCAGGGGAAGTAAGGCCAGCCTTCTGCCGCTGCCATTGCCAGAGGATGTTATTCCTGAATGGCCAGCTAGCTACCAGCTGCCTGCTCATACCCACCCCAGCTGGGGGAGAATTTCTGGGCATTCTGAGCTTCAGCTCAGCTCAAATTGCTGAATCATTCCTGACCTTCTACAGCTCAAAAAACTACCCCCTCAGACAACAAACTCAAAGCATTAGGAGAAGCATCTTTGGAATATCAGCTTTTCTGACAGCAAGGGAGAGAGAGCCAGAAGCATTCTTTAGGATCCCTGTTCCTTGTCTCAAAAAAAAAAAAAAAAAAAAAAAGGGAGGGGAAAGACGTGAGTTATGAGACATTTCTTAATTCCTGCCCCACAGCCAAATCCCCCACCACCCCCATTCCCCAAAGTATCAAATTCTTGAAATTATGTTTGAGTTTCAAATAGTGATCTTTTTTTTTAATTGAATTTTTCTCTCTTCTTCTTAAATCAGATCCGGATGAAGCAATAGGTAAGTGGAATTTTCTCCATTCTTTAGCTTAGGATGGCCCAGGCTCCCACCAGATGTGGCCAAGGGCATGCCCGACAGAGTCTGACAGCCCCACAGCTGCTGGGCCGTCACTCATTCCCACAGCAACTGGGAAGCTGAGCTGTGACAAGACCATTTCTTTATAAAAATACCACCACACATCGATGTTTTCAGCTCAGGCACATCCAAATTTGGCAATGACAGTAGCAGCGGCAGCAGTGTCTGATACATCTGGAGGTGTGTCTGCATTCTCACCCAATGCTCCTATTTCCCCCAAGCACTATACTCCCTGAGCTGGACTTGGGGAGGTGGAAGATAAGACTCCCTGCAAAAGGCAGCACCTTTTGAGAAGAATCTAAATTTGTGCTTCTCAACTTTTTTTAGTCTGTGACACATTTGTGAACTTGTTGAGACATACTGGAGCACTCCAGAGGAGGAAGGTCTCCTATTTCCTTAGCTCCTCAGACTAGCTATTCTTAAAGACATTCATCTAATTTCAGCCCCCAACCATGTACGATAACAAGAGGTCAAACATGATCATCTCAGTCCTATAGCCCCTGAAAGAGCTGTTATATAGTCTTTCCACTAAAGTCTTGGACTTTACTCCACAGGACCTCCCAGAGAGTTTTATTGACTCTTACTTAACCAACAGTTCTAACAAACTCAATAATTTAATTTCTCAAGTCAGAGAAGATTAGAAGCAGCAAAGGGAAGGGAGTAGGGGCTGGTGCTATTGGAGGCAGGCACAATGACAGTAGAGGTGGCAGCTGACAGCCTGACACTGAAGACAGAGACTGAAAAACTGAAAGCGCACAGAAGTGTATTACTATACAATACAATAATGGATGTTTGTAAGGATGACCCTGAGTCATCAAGAAAAGGTTAAGTTCTGTTTAGTAGTCTCTATTTAATAAAGTAGACTATAACATATTATATAAAGACTTCCATTCAAAATAGTTACAGCAAAATAATTTTAACAGTTTTTTTTTAAACTACTCTCAGCCTTCTCTGATCTTCCCAGCAATACTTAATCTCTACATCCTGAGATTTCTCATAGTACTGTCTACATCTCTCCTACGCGCTTACTACATTCTACCTCGAATTATAGTTACTAGTGACCTTATCATCTCTCTAAGTAGATTACACAAGCTCAGGGACCATGTCTTATTCATGTTTGTATTAATGAATTAAGTTCACTGAATTTAATTTAATATGAAAAGTTCAATTATGTGAAACCCTTCATTCCCAGAGAAGGCTTGATCATTGAGAAACTGAGCTGGATCAGATATCCTTACATATATGCCCACTTCACACACTTGCCAGCTGTGCCCACTCTTCTCTTAATCATAGTTCCTGCCCCTTCTGCCCTGATATTGAAGTGTCCTGACAATTCACAGTTTGCAAAACAGTGATCTAAATCCATAGAAGAATATTCACAGTTCTCCAACTGCCTCCCTAAGCATAAGGGAAGGAGATACTGCCTTTGGAAAATGATCTGGTCCAAGCATCCTCCTCCTTCAGGGTCATCATGTCCACACAACATGTTGCTAAGCCAACAGCAGAATAGATAAAGTGTCCGAGATTGTACAGGAAACAGGAGGCTCAGACAGAACCAGAGCTCTTTAGGAAGTGGTGGGAATGAAAACAATATGACTGAATGGCTGTTCCAGGGTGGGGCACGTTCTTTTGGCTGAATTCCACCTCGGTTTATCACTAAGACCACTGTGATGATGGCTGTAATAATTATTTTTATTAACAATAAAAATAATGATGATGCTAATGATAATGATACTATCCTGCACTTATAAAGTGCTTTTCCTATCTGTTATCTCATTTGTTACTCAAAATAACCCTGGAATGGAGGTAGTGCAGGTATCATTACCCCTGTTTTGCAGATGAAGAAAGCAAAACCCAGAGGAAGTAAGTGATTTACCCAAGGTCATACTGTATGTTAGAGGCCAAACTAGACACAGAACTGACAACAGCATTTATATAAGCACCTGAAGACTTACAAAGCGCTTTGCACATAGGATCTCATTTGTTCCTCACAACAGCCCTGTGAGATAGGTACTATTATTATCCCCATTTTATAGATGAGGAAATTGAGGCTAGGCAAGATTAAGTGACTTGCCTCAGGGTCACACTGCTAATAAGCATGTGGAGGGATCTGAATTCAGGTCTTCCTGACTCCAAGTCCAGCGATCTACCCACTGTGCCACTTGGTTCTGACTCCTCCTCTGTATTCTCCACTATTTCTGCTGCCTTCTCATTTCTTCCTTGGTTTTTAGCGTGGACAACCTTCCCATCTTCTACCTATCACATCCTCCAACCTGCTACTCCACCCCTGACCCTCCCCAATTTGCTATTCTGATCCTCAAGTCTTACAGTTACACCTTAAGTCTTACAGCTATATCTTGACTGAGCTGGCTGGGTTCCTCACCTCGTTCTCGTAGACAAGAAGTCGGGCCTTGCAGAGCAGGAGATAGCGGTCTTTCCAAAGTCCCAGGAGGCCCCCACTGCTCTTCTTGATCCATCCAGCCTTATCGGCCATCTGGGCACCCCGCAGTTTTTCACCACCCTCCTTCATGCCCTGAAATGATAGCAATGGACACACCCACATAAGGAAGAGACTCCACAGCCAAGTTGGGAGCGAACTTCCCTAATCCCCAGTCACTGGCTCTCAATTACTATGGGAGGGCAGTCACCATAAGACACTGTTAAAAACATAACATGTACCCTGCCAAAATTGAGATGTCAACCATTTTTACACTTGGAACTTTCTCCCAGTAGCTTCTACTGGGCATTTCAGGATTTTAAATTTTATACCCATCTTAGCTGACGACTTAGACTCTCTCAAGTTTGCATGACTGTATATCCAGTGTGAGTTTATGTGGGAAAGAGGGGAGGTGTCAAAATCTGGAGGATGCTAGATGAAAATTAGCATTTACTAATTTTGGACACTTTATTATTTACATAAAACTAAAAAAAAAGATCCAATCAAAAGTAAAAGTCGCTGTACCCCTCCTCCTTCTTCTCCTCCTCCTCTTTATGGGTGAGTTAATCTCTTCTGGCCCTATGGAAACAGCCAGAAAAGCTGCCTTTGGAAGAACACACATATGCAAATTTATTTTGTCTCCTGAAATGTTCACAGAGGCACCCTGTTTATAGCAGAGCACAGCTTTGCCACCCATGAGGAAGAATCTCCCCCTTATATTGCAGAAAACCCTAGCTGGCCTTCTACAAATACCTCACACCTCCTGGACCTTCGCTTCTGGCATTCACGGATCCCCTTCTGGATCCAGGACAAAATCAAAGAATCTCGTACTATAGGACTCTCTCTTGGGACTTCCTTCCAATGTCATTTCTCTGACTTGGAACCTATTGTCTTATTGAGTTGAACCCTATAAACAAAACCACTGAAGCTCTCCCAGCCCCACCCCTGGTTCTTGACCTCTTTCAGGGAAGCAAGAGATACTTTTAGGGTTCTCAGTTTCACCAGCCCAAGGCCTAACTGGCACTATGTCCCTCAAGCAGAAGATCTAACATGGAGGACAGCAGCAGAGGCTAGCTATCACCCCACCCCAAGCATCTCTACCTAATTTCTGGGATAGAACAACCCCAGTGCTTCAAGGGAAAGAAACAAGTTACTTGAACAGTGCTTAAGTAGCTCATATTTGTAAAGCGCTTGACAATATACCAAGCACTTTCCTCACATAATCCTATGAGACAGGTCATGTTTTTAGAATTTTTTTTTAACATTCACATGTTACAAAGGAAGAAATTGAGGTTAAGTGACTTGCCCATACTCACATGGTTGGGCAGTCACAGAGACTTAGACCAGGACCTGCCTTTCTGACTCCATGTCCCATACTCTTTCCTCTACATTATACTGCCTCTCTTTGCGCTTGGAGGAATGAAGAAACAGAAGAGTACATCCAGAAGCGCAGCCCTCTTAGGCAAGTTCTCTAGCTTTCAAGCCCTTCTGGAAGGAAACAAGAAGGCATCCCACCCTAGTCTAACTTCCCCCACCCCATCTTATCCCCCACTAATTCAAATACTAGATAGTCCCTAGCTCAGTACTCAGAATCTGGCCTTGGCCTGGAAGTCTAGAAAGTGGGACCTAATCCCAGTTCTTTATCAAATGAACAGTGGAACCCTCAGATTTCCCCCGAGTAATTTTGGAACATAGGTTACCAAGACATGACCCAGGCTATTATGAGTTTATATCATCCAGGAGAAGTTTGATTAAGAAAAGGAGATGGGCCAATTATGCAACATGAGTGAAGGACTGCCCAAGTGTTGAACCCATATGGAATGTAAGCCCCTTGAGGGCAGGGACTACTTCCCTTTGGTTTTTTACATCCTCTGTGCTTTGCATAGTTACCCAGGACTCAGTAAACAATAAATGCTTGATAAGATGCTTGTTGACTGAAAAGAAGGACTCCAACTCATTGAATGAACCCCCAGTGGACCAAGAGTAACACAAGATGAGAAGGCATGGAATGTTCGCACTCTACTGTGGGAGACAACCTCCACATTGAGATCATGGCTCCACGAAACGGCTGACACAGAGCATCAAGACAATGAGGCCAGGCTACTTCTCCAAGGACTTATTAGGCTGTGTAACTACCAGAGAGATGACATTTCTGTAGGGATACAGTACAGTCCCAGTGCACAAACTCAAGAAGAAATCCAGGCCCCCCTCCACTGCCCACCCATAGAAAAGAGGCAAGCAGAATTTTAAAAATGCATTTTTGCATTGCCTTGTTCCTCTCTGGGTTTCTGATGATCTGACTTCAGATCCAATCTTCCTGGGATAGCAGTGGAATCAGAACAGCTAGGGACAGGGTAGCAGCAGCCATGATTTCAGCAAGCTCAGGTTCCAACAACTACTGAATGCCTAGCTGTGGGCGATGCAGGAGATGTCTTCTGATTCGGTCTCCTCTCAACAAGCTTACAATCTAGTTGGCGTAGAAATGAGAAGCCACGGAAAGGCTCACACCACATTACCATAGGAAGCAATCTTGGAAATAGGATTAATGGTTGGGAAACAATTACCGTGCCACACAAGACAGGATAAATGTGGTGCTAGATTGTGTGGCACAGACTGGATGCTAAAGGGATTCACAGCAAGAGGAAATCCAATAGGGTCAGGAAAGACTTCACGGACAAACTGTCTCTTTCATCACTAAGCTCTAGTCCACCTTCTCCATTAAGCCTTGGAAAGAGCACTGAACCTGCAGTTAGTGGATATGGATTCAAATGCCAGTTCCAAAGCTTACTATCTACCCTCTGGACAAGATATTAACTTCTCTGGGCTTCAGTTTCCTCATTTGTAAAAGAAGGAGGATAGTCTACTCTAAATGATCTCTAAGATCCCTTCCAAATTCAAATCCAAGATCCTACCACTCCAGCCCACAGGGATTTCTCCCTCCCCTGAACACTTACTGAATTTACTTTTTTATACTGTTCATTTTGTCTTTTAGCATACGAAGCTTCAGAAGGTTATTTGGTTCATATCTTATCAACCAGCTCTTTGGTTGTCAAACACACTTTTAAGTTTAATCTGCGTTATTAAAATTTTTCCATCCTTTTCTTAAGTCTAGACAACCAACAAAACAATAAATCAAGCCCTGATATGTAGTCTTTACCAGATCTTTATCAAAGACTCCAACACACTAGATACTAGGTACTAGATGGTCGAGGCTATATGCCTATGGTAAGGTGGTTAGCACAGAATGTTAGTCGTGAAAAATTCAGTGCTGCTCCATAAATGTGGATCAAACCAATCTATTGTGCCATGGAAAGAAGCGGCAGGATTTGTAGTGAGAAGACCTGAGTTTGAATCCTGGTTCTGCTGTATCCTAGGGATGAAGCCTTTGGTGAACCACTTCAGCTTTATAAACTTCAGTTTCTTCATGTATAAAATGTGGCATTCAGACCACAAGAGGGCTGAGGTGGCTACCAGCTACAATCTGTAAGCCTATAAGGTAGGACTTAAGTTAGACCTTGAAGGACATGTAAGATTATAGAACTTAGAAGTGGAAGACACTTTAGGGAACACCTCGCCTAGCCCTCTCATCCAGAAGAAATTGGGAAACTCAGGTCCAGGAAGTAACTAATCCAAAGTCATATACGCTGGCATACTCGGCCAAAAAATAAGCAAGATTTGAACCCAAGGCCTCTGACTCCAAATCCAACATACTCTTCATGTTCTGCCACAGATTTAGCCTAGTAGAATGAGGAAGGGACAATCATAGGAAACAGCACGACCCAGTGTAGGAAGGAACGTCTTTTATTATCGCACATCATCATCGTCATACCCACACAACGCACGTGGTCCCCCCCGTTTGCAGATGGCTCAGTTTGGATATGCTCTGTTCCTGCTGTCACTCTGTTCCACCTGCCTCCTCCCTTTTCCTCCTCCCCCTCAGAGCCACCCTCCCCCCTACTCCATGAGGTCAGGGGATTGGCAATGCACCCGGAAGTTTTAATAAGCCATCCCCTTTCCTTGGCGCAGCAAGCCACTGCCACAGTGGAGGCTTTGTCCTTCTCAGCCTAGTTTCACGGCTGCCTCTCCTCTCACTCACTGACCGGCTGACCACAGCCTTTTCTGTTTTTCCCTTCCTCTTCCCTCCTCCCAATCATCAGGTCTCCATGGAATCCTTTGAGTACACTTTGGGTACCTTCTGCTACATCTCAACCACTCAGCATCAGGACTCCTATTCTTTCCCAGGGGGCCTTTTAGAGCCAAGGACAAGATGCCACCATAACCACTACAGGGTGGTGGACCAGAGTGACCAAACTGTATATTCTGCTAAACAAAAAAGTGGTAGATAGCCATGGACAAGGCTTAAGGGTGTTCAGAGTGATAGCCTTAAAGTGGTTACAGAGTGCCCTATACACTGAGCTTCCTTTAGTCAAATACAACAAATTTTTAACCTGATGAATGAATAATACATAGGTACTAGGTAAATTAGAGATGGCAAAGGCTAGGACTAGATGTTACTAGAATGCCTAAAGTCAAGTCTGGGGGAAAGGGGGGAAAACTACTTCCTGTAGGAAGTAAGTTCTGAGCATTTCTGAAGGTAGAAAGAGGCATACTTTGGCAATCATAAGGGTGAGGACATATCAAGGACAGGAAAGGTTCCCAGGTAAATCAGCATCATAGAACATTAAAGCCAGGAAAAATCTTAGAGATCATAGAATATTTGTAAGACATGGGAAGGAGCTTATTGACAATTTCAAACCCTCATTTCATACATCAGGAAGTGGACACCACAGAGATGAAGTGATTGGCCAAAAATTCTACTCAGTAACAGAGCTGGCACCTAGAACCTCAATCTGTCCAGTACTCCTTCTACTACCCAAAACAGCCTCTGCAAAAAAGGGAAGAGGTCTGCAGGGAACAGTAAGAATGGAGCAAAGAATATAAGCCAGATAAAGCCAATGGGTAGAAAAAGACATACCCAGGAATTGAAATTTGATTCAGAAGAGACTGAGAGGAGACAAGTTTCTGGGAAAGGGAGTGGCAGTATCAAAATGATGCTAAAGGGAGACTTTCTTCACTTCCCTATACAAGATGAAAAGGAAGCTATATTGTCCAGGTATGAGGAGATGGAATCCTGAATTGGCCTTGTGGTTGTGAGCCTGAGGAGGAGAAAGTTAGAGCTGAGAAATAATTTAGGATAAAAATGATTAGGATTTGGTACCAAGGTAGATATAAGGGAGGAGATAGAAGGTAAGAAGATAAAGAGGCAATGAAGATGACTTCCAAATTTGGGGGGAGGGGATGAGGGATGAGGACTCCAGTGGCAGTGACCAAAATGTTAGATGGGAGGATGAGGGAAAAAGATGAATATGATATTTTTACTTTTTTAGTTTCAGTTGTTATCTTTAATGGGGAACAGGTTGGGTTGAGAGTCTCTCAACATCTGATTGAGATAATTTGGGGGCTGGCTCCCAAGACCCTCTCTAAAGAGGCCTGAAAACAACCTGAAAAGTTGTTTATTTCTTTGCCGGTGAGCTCCTGTCCCAACTGCCCACTGGCAGGAAACCACATCATCCTCTCCTGACATTGGCTATGCTGCCCCAACTTACCAAGAACTGTTTGGAAATCCAAGCAGAAGAAATGACTATTTAACCTGGAAGGGATCTAAAAGAGTATGGGCAAATCACTTAACCTTTTTGGGTCTCACTGTTATTATCTGTAAAAAGAGAGGGCTGAACTAGATGACCACTAAGGTCCAGCTCTAAGTCTATGATCCTATAAACCTATAAATCCTATAAACCATCAGATGAAGACACTGTAGTCTAAAGAAGAAAAGTACTATGCCCTCTTCTATGAGGCTTTTTCAGATCTTCCAACTGTTAGGCTCCCCCAAGACATTATCTTGCATTTGTTTTTATATATGTTTTCTCTTTATTAAAATGTTTTCCCTATGGAACCTGCGTTCTTTGAGGGCAAAGAATATTTGGTTTTTGTCTTTGTAAACTTTATCACCTAGCATAGTGCCAGGCACATAGTAGGTACTTAAGAAGCTTACTATAAATTGCCCAAGGTTACAGAGTGAATGGCAGAGAAGGGACTAGAGTCTTTCCAATACCACTCTAGTGTCTAACCACGGTGCTATCCATAAAGACATGCCCACTGAGACAGCAGGGAGGAAAGACAGCTATTTCTCTGATCAAACAGTTGTTTCCAGCTGATCATATATGAAAGGTTTCTGGTCTAAGTCAGTTAAGATCTTGGTATGCTCAGCTATCACTTTAGCCAGGGGTTAGGAACTTGGGCTCAGGGAACACCAAGGACCATTATGGCACCACTAGACTCCTCCTAACTCCATAAGGATTCAGCATCTTGACCACAAGGGCTCAGGTCACCCTGGCCAAGAGAAAGGAGCCAAATTCTCAGCCCATCTCTAGCCTCCTACCTCTAAGCTCTTGCTTTCTGTTTTTCCTGGAATCTGAGACTCCAGATTTCCTCTCAATGGAAGATTAAGGAAGGTCAAGTAAGCTCCCATCCTCAAATCTACCTCCAATTACCTAAATAATAGGAACTCTCTCTCCCACATCCCCAAGCCACCACGACCCTTCTAGGTAACAGAAATTCTAGGACACTTTGTACTGTATCTGTCTGATCAAAAGGCTTGAGGAAATCCTGGACCAAGCTGGGAAAAGGGCTGTGGCCTGCCATCAGGGCTGACACTTCTCTCCCACTGCCACCCTCCACTTCTCTACTTTCTTTCCAGCTCTCTTTCCTACAGGGAAGCTGTTCTTCACACCCTGAAGAGTGAGGGAAAGAGAGGGGGGGAAAGGGGTTACCAAAAGCCGAAGACATCATCTGAAGCCATATGGGTCTGTCTGTCTGCTCCGCCAAGGGAAACAGGGACTCAGGCTACCCACCACAGTCTTGTTAGCAGCCTCTGCCCTCCTCCTTCCCCCCAACCCCCGCCACACGGTGTCCCTTGGACAGATGTGGTCCGGTGGGTGGGGCTACAGAAAGGACCTTTTTCTGGGTAGAAAAATGCAACTTCTTGGCCAATCCTCACCCCTGAGCTTGAGGAGGGGTGTGTATGTCAAGAAGCACCCTTCCCAAAACCTTTCTGTACCAGGCAGGCTCCCTTCATCTACTAAGACATATAGTTACATTGGCTCAGATCTCTGTTATATCTGGCAAGCTAGATTCCCCCAACAACCTCTTAGAACTTATAAAGGCTCCCTTCCACTGCCAGACACCCCCTTTACTGTCAGATACAGAAACACACAGGGTATTGTTTCTCTACCACAAAAGTAAAGTTGAATTTCGGGGACCCCGGCAAGCTCTTTCCCTACCCTGAATTAGGAGGTGGTCCACGCCTTCACAGCCCGAGTCGGGGGTGACGGAGGCAGAAAAAGAGGAGTAGCCAGACCAGGGCTGGGGGCTGGGATCTGGGCACAGACGCCCCCCACCCACCCCATACTCCCTCTACTCCGAGGATTAGCAACCCTTCATGTCTTTGAAGGCATCCTCACCCGGGCCACCCGAACCACTAGCCTCCCGCCCCCGCCCTTCCTCCCGGTCTATTCCCCGAACTCTCCCTCGACTCCCACGGTCAGTCTCGCCCCAGTCAGCGGATCCGGCGCCCCTGCCCGTGCCCACAGCCCTAAGCTGAGTCGGGCGCACCGGACGCCCTTCTCAGTCGCCGTCCCTCCGGGCCAAGGGAGAGACAGATACGCGGCTAGGAGCGAGGAGCCCCAGGCAGAGCCGAGGGAGGGGTCCAGGACGACCCCGGCCCAGGCCATCCAGCCGCCTGGGGTTGGAGCCCGACGGCCGGAGCCGGGCAGGGACGCTCCCGTCCCCCCGAGGCCGGGATCTACAGCCCCCTCTCCTTCCTCCCTCCCTCCCGGGGGGCCCTATGCCGCCAGCCTCACCTCCTCCTCCATGGCCGAGCCGAGCGGGAGGCGGGGGGGGAGGGGGAACGGGCGGGCGGCTCCCGCTCCTGCCGCTCCGCCCCGGGAGTCACTAGCCCGTCCGCCGCGCAGCCCCTGCGGCTCTGCTCGCCCCCATCCCGGCCGGGCGGCGGCTACTCCCCTCTGTCTGTCCCGCCCGCAGCTCGCCCAGAAGAAGAAACTTCGGCGGGGGGCGGGGCCGGAGGCGGGGAGAGATTTCTGGGGCCGGGGCGGGACTGGGGGCGGGACAAGGGGACCGGGAGGGGTTGGTAGGGCCAGAGTCGGGGTGGGGCCGGACTCTGGGCGGGTGGGGGGCGGGGGAGGGGGGTAGGGATGACTGAGGCCGGGAAGAGTTGTTGTGTTGGTGGGGCCGGAGCCTGGGCGGGGCCAGGGCGGGACGAGAAGGGGTTCGGGATTTGTTAGTGTATTAGTGGGGCCGGAGCCTGGGCGGGGCCAGGGCGTGACGAGGTGGGGGGTCGGCATGTGTTAGTGTATTGGTGGGGCCGGAGTCTGGGCGGGGCCCGGAGGCGGGACCGAAGGAGCCAAGAGGGGATAGGGGACCGAAGCCCGAGGAGGGGCCGGGGCCGGAACCGGAGGCGGGGCGGGCCCTTTCTTTTTTCTGGGCTCTTCCACGAGCCAGAGGCTGGGGTGGGATGTAGGATGGGGGACCGTGGATGCACGGCCGCAGTCTGAAGCCACCTGTCCGGAGAAAAGCCTGGATTAGGGACACGGAGAGGGTTCCGGAACCCGGCCAAAACTCGGGCTGGGGTCGGGGCGGGGACTGGAGATGGATGGCTAGAGACTAAGGATGAGGGTAAACCAGATAAATCTAAGACGGGGCCAGCCCCTGCATGGGCTGAACCAGGCGGAGCTAGGACTTGAAAGAGGCGGAGTCGAAGCTGCCGGAGTTTAAACCTCTGCCGGTCACCTCCTGAGACGTGACTCTAGCCCGGCCCCTCATCTCCCTCCTCTTTCTTCAAGCCTGTCTCCTCCTGGTTGGCTGGTCCCGGGACCCGCCGGTAGCGCCTCTTTGGCTCTGGGTACCGCTTGCTGCCTTCCTCCGTCTAATCAGAGTAGTGGTCCAGGAGGAGGAAAGCAAAGAAGAGAGCGTCGGAGGCAAAAGAAGGCTGGGTAAGCTTAGGAGTTAAAGCAGGGGCCTGTACGGCTTCTCTCTGCAGTGGGTTGCATCAGTTTGGTCACTTCCCTCCCAGGCCTGTCAAAGATCTGGGAATTGGGATACCTGGGTTCTTTTGGCAGGTCAGGCTCTGACTCATAATGTCTTTCAGAGCTTGACTGTCCTTCGTGGGCCTCAATTTACCCAGATACACAGGCAATGCTATATAGTGGAAAGAGAATTGACATTGGAATTAGGCGTAACCAGGTTGCCAATCCGGCTTCTTAGCATTTACCTGTTTTGTAACGTTGGACACAAGTCGTTTAACCAAACCTCAGTTTCCTCATTTGTAAAATGGTAACAGCAACAAGTACCTATAGTGCGTGTCTCTCAGTGTTGCTGTGAAGATTAGAAGAGATAATAAAGTGCCTTGCAAACATAAATGGTAACTATTATTACAATGTAACTTAGACAAAAGGAACTCTGGAAGCAGGAGCAACTGGACTTCCCGAGGGCCTGGGCAATTCAATCTAAGATCCTTTCCAGGTGTAACTTTATATGGTTTTCAGTGAGGCTGCAACCAGTTGGAGTCCTCCCCTCTCTCCTCTTATCAGAAGCTGGTTCGTGCTCTTCCCTCTAAGTTGGTCCCCAAATAAGACAACCACTACTTTCCAAATGAAATCCCTCCCACTCCAGCTACAAAACATCATGTCATGCTCTTTTCTTTTCCCCCAGCAGACGTGCCTTCCTTCTCATCTCCCAAGCTGTTTGGACATGAGCTAGCATTCTCTTTGGGGGTTTAGCGCTGTCCCATCATTCCCATTGCCAAAACTTTCTCATTACACAGTTCCACCGTGGGACTTACTGAACAGTGCCAGCTGACATTTAGAATCTCTGGGAGGCTGTCACCACAGAAAGAGTTAAGTCAGACTTGCAGGATCAATTGTGACCTTCTTAGCCTCTTACTTCCACAGCAGCAACTTTATACAGTAGTTGGGTCTCGACTTCCAGCTCTGCCCTTTCCCAAACAACTGTCTCTCCCCATCTGGGCCGTGGGCACCCTGACCTGCTTTCAGGCTTGTGTCCTGAATGAGCAGTTTGAGGACCTGATGCCCCAAAGGTAATAGTTCCCCTGGCCTGGTGTGTCATATGAAAAATAAAGATGAGAAAAGCACACCACTTGCAACTCTCAGGATAGATTTGGGCCATCAGAAAAAGGCTGAGAGTTCACTGAGCCTGTCGACCCATGGAATGTGAGGAAGGTGGGGAGCTATAATGACCTGGGTACCTGGACAGAGGATGGTGTTTTGTCCTGTGGAGAGCTTCCACTCTTTTTTTTTTCTTTTTCCCTCCAACCCCACACAAACCCCAACTTGATATCATGAGAACATAGATTTAGAGCTTAAGGGACCTTAAAGGTTATATATCATGTTTAGGTTTCTGTATCTCCAGTAGCCTGCACATAGAAGACACGCAGTAAATGTTTTTGATTGACAGGATGCCTCTGACAGTACTAGGGAAAGCCTGCTGGGTATTTGCTGAGGAACACACCCAACACAAATTTTCCAATACCTAAGCTTTCATTGCTGTCTTTCCTCAAGTACTTGACAGGTCTGAATTGTTCTGGTGCTTCTTGTGTTTGTTGTAGTGTCTGTTGAAGACAATCCAGCCTGGGATATCAGAGGAAGCCAGGCCTGTCGCAAGCTGATGCAGGCACCATGTGGTTTTATTTTTCTCAATCTCCAGCCTTATGTAATCATTGCTCTGCCCTGTGATCCTGCCTTGGGTTTTAGACATACTGGGTTGTGCTGCTTGGGCCTTGAGCTTCAAGGGTCGAAGTCATAGAAGGGAAATGGAGTCTGGGACTAGGAGTCAAAAGAGCTCATGTCTGTGTCCTGCTCTGCACCATGACTCACTTTGTGAACTTAGGCAACTCACTGGTCTTCCACATTCCACATCCAACAATCTATCCATCACAGCACAGTGCCTCTCCCAAACTCCTCATTTTGTCATTAAAAAACAAAGACTCAGTTCTGATTTTCATGGTGAACATGGAATCTGGAAGATAATGGTTCAAATCCTGCCTGAGACAGTTTTTTGTTATGTGACCCAACTAATAACCCCAGTGCTTAGCACAGTGCCTAGCACATAGAAAATTGCTTTACAAGTGCTGGTTGATTTGACTTGGCTTGACTTGATCCTCTGCACTAATTTAACCTCAGTGGATCTCATTTTTCTCATCTGCAAAATGAGGAGGTTGGACTTGTGATCTCTAAAGTCCCTTTTAGCTCTAAATCAGGTGTTCTTAAACTTTTTTTGTGTCCTAGACCCTTTGACAGTCTGGCGAAGCCTATGAATTCCTTCTCAGAATAATGGCTTGTTAAATGTGTTAAATGCATAAAATGAAATACCAGAGATTACAAAAGAAATCAATTATATTGAAATATAAATATTAAAATATTCTTTAAAAAAACTTAAGTTCACAGACCCCAGGTGAAGATCCACAGCTCTTAATCAATGATCCCATGACCAAGGTTCCTTCCAGCTAATATGTTCCATGAGTCCATATCTTTTAGGAAGCAAAGGATGCCTGAAAATACTGAGGCCAAGGCACCAAAGGAGGCACAAGTTGCTTCCCTCCTCATACCCTGCAGTTGCCTCACAGGAAATAGCTAGCACCTCTATAATCTGACTGGTCAGAACACATCTAGACTATTATATTCAGCTCTGGGAAGCCCATTTTAGTTGGAGCATTGATCTTTTGGAGATTGTCTGAAGGAGATTATGAGGATGAATAGAAGCATCCAGTTCATGCCATTTGAAGGCTAGCCAAAGGAACTGGGGATGTTTAACCTGGAAAATAAAAGGCTTAGTGGGGATATGATAGCTGTCTTCAAGTAGGTAAAGGGAAGGAGGATTCAACTTCAATTTGTCAAACATTTATTAAGTGAAGACTGTGAATACAAAGACAAAATGAAAATAGTCCCTGCCCTCAAAGAGTTTGCCTTCTACTGTAGATGGTAATGGTACAGTGGGAAGTCTGCAGGCTTTGACATCAAAAGATCTGGATTTGATCTCAGATCTTCTGTTTATTATCTGTGTTGGACCTTAGCCACCAATGTCCCTTCCAGCTCTAAAATCTATGTTCTTGTGGTCCCATGTAGATATACCATATACACAAGTAAGTAAACAGAAAATAATTTCAAGAGAGGAAGTGCTACCATCTGGGTCATTGAGAAAGGTGTAAGAAGTAACACCTGAGTTGAGCCTTGAAAGAAGCAAGAGTTACAACAAGGGTGATGAGAGGAGGAGCAAATTCCAGATAGACTTGGGTAGAGGAAAGAGGAGAATTCAAGTCAGGAGATGGATGGAAGGAAGGGAAAAAGAAAAGAAGGAAGGAAGGAAAGAAGGAAGGAAGGAAGGAAATGATTGAGGGAGGGACGGAAGTATTTGTTAAGTATCCATTATGTGCCAGGCACTGTGCTAAGTGTTTCATAAATATTATCTCACTTGATCCTCCCAACAACCCTGAGAGGTAGGTGCCATTATTATCCCCATTTTACAGAAGAAGAGCAGAACTAGTAGCAATCACTGGAAGTTTCATGGAGGCAAACTACGGCTTGATATAAGGAAAAACTCCCTGACAGTTCTCTCTTTTCAAAGGTGGAGTGGGCTGCCATCAGAGGCATCAGGTTCCACCTTCATTTGAAGTCTTTTGAGCAAAGGTTGGATGCCCACTTGCCAGGTATGTTATAGAGGGGATTCTTTTCAAGGATGGTCTGGACTAGATGGTCACTGAGGTATCTTGTGTCTCTGAAATTCTGTGATTCTGTGACTAATAGTTGAATGCTTTTTATTAATACAATTCCATACATTCTCATCAGTTCTCTCCATCCCGTGCTATACAATGTATATTGTCACTGACTGCCTACTACATAGGTAATACAGAAGTATAACCCA